CGTCTCCCACACATGGAAGAAAAAACTTGTGCTTAAATGGCTACAGTCCACATGGAAAAAAAGCCAAGTGGAGTTCGAAAGTTTGCATAAAATAAATTAGAAGTGAGCTGTCAAACAGGTGTCTAGAACTTAAGTGTGCATAAGAATGACTTAAAAGACGAGAACAAAGCAAAGTCAAATACACATGGTTAATCTTTTTTACATTATTTTTTGGCATTGTCTGACTGATGTGAAATATTGGTTATTCATTTTATGTCGCGTAAGTAAGTGGGGCACTTAAATTATATCCAGAAATATGAAGCGTGATGGCAGTGAAAATACCGTCCCTCACTGCGTGACTGAAGTCCGCTGCGCCCTGAACAAAGACTCTTCATCATTTTATAAAGCTTTGTGAATCATTTTGGGGATATGCGTGTGTAGAGCTCGATTCATTTTTAATTCTGACTGAATATTTAAAACTCTCTTCAAACTAAGTTTACAGTCTGTTTGAAATTGGCCCTAGAAATCAAGTGTGCCTTACATATGTGCATCCGTATATTTCCTGAATGTCGCTGACATGTCGTCCTGTCTGTGGGCCCTTGTAAGCAATTATATGAAGAAGTCACCAAAATATTTCAGTGTACGTACTTGTATGAAAATGTACCTTTGGCCTGCCACTCATTATTACCTAACCTAACCCCATAACTCATGTCAAGTATTACTACCAAAATAAGTGTATAATTGGTCTAGTGCCTTGGTTTCTTATGGCCTCAGAATTATTGTTTTAAAATCCAAAGAATTTTATATGAAAAGTTTCTGTTTCATTCTGATTTCTGGGAAGTCTTGACGCTACTCACTGGAGACCAGTCAAAATGAAATCTGCAGTACAGCATTGTTTTCTTTTCCTTCCTAGATGCTGAGCAAGTTGGTCCAAATTACGTTTGTGGTTTCTTTTTCATAGGTGTCTGATTCAGACCTTGTCCAAATTCTTCGTTCTGTCTTCATCCAACAGTAAATATCCTGTGTAGTTGATGGAGAGGTTTTAAATAAACTATTTGCTTCTGCACGGTTTAGTTGTTTTCTTATTCATTTTCTTGAAACTTTGTTGCAGTAGTACTAACACAATAAAGGAAATTCATTGTACTCTGGCTTTTCTTCCCTGTTACGTTAGCAACACGCCTGACGTACTCTGTACAAAGTATGCATGTATATGTGTGTGAACATTCATTGGGGTGTGAAATTTGCAGATTCAGCTTTGGTGTTCACAAATAAAAGGCAAAACTGTTCCGTACGTATCTGAACAATTTGTGTAATAGCACAGTTTTACGCTGTATTCATCTTTGCTATAATATAATTTTTTTGTAACAGAACACACAATTTTTGTGTGACAACACTCATCTGCTAACTACTTTCACTTTTTATTGAACTTTGTTAGTTCTTTCTCCATTTTTTGCATTCGCTTCAAGTTTTGCTGCCTTCAGCCACCTCACATTTTCACATTTCTTTCTCCCATTTATTTAATTCACAGAGAATGTCTCCAACACAGCCCCAAAAACATAATAAATAGCTGGAAATATTTTGGTGACTTGCCCTTTGTAGGCACGCACATCTTTTTAATTGTGCCCCCTTCCCATTGTGAAACAAATGCTCTGCTTCCTCACTCATTGACCAGACTGAAGTGTATTTGCGTACTCAATTACTCAAAAAAGACTCGCTAGACTGTACAGAACTTGCCAAATATTTGATAGTTTTGAACCTGTAAATCCCCTCTAAATAGTTCCTGATGGTCACTGACTAATAAAATTGGGTCGCAGATAAGGCGTTTGCGACAGTTTTTCCTGGAAATAAGTTGAGGTTAACGTGGTGTGAAATGAAGCAAGTAAAGATCTCAATTTCATGTTTTCTACTTGGGTACCTGGCATTTTAGTGTTATGTAAATACTTTGTACATCAGTTTAACCCAGATTTACCTTTAAGAATATGAAAAGTGTATGGGGTGTTTCATTGATATACTGTTCTAGTGTCACAACTCCAGACTTAACGTACAAAGAAATATTAAACAAGAATAACTGAATAATTTGATAGGCTGCTGCAGCTCTTTACAGGCCTTTTCTGGAATTGTTGTTAATTTGTAGAAACATTATTGACCTGAAACATAAAAATTATAGTTACTTTGACTGTTGTCGTGCTGTTCTCGTAGATTTCAGCCCAGTGAATGAGCTTCTTGAGTGTTGGGACAACGGTTTGGTCAGCGGTACATATTTCTGCCATTAAAGTTTCGTACCTTTCACACGCACGGCGAGACTTCGTCATTGAATTTGACCTTCTTGTTACTGTGTAGTAAGTAGATTGTATCTTGTTAATTAATTGTACAGATAAGAATAAGAAGCTCTATTACACGTGTACTGTATTTTCACTGAATATGTTTTAATTATTAAGTTCTGAATACCTGAATTTAATTAAAATGTTAATGTAAATATCTTTGTGTATTGAGTTAAGAAATATTGTCATTAGATGTATTTATGTGGTGCAATATGTACAAATGAAGTAGCAGTGTTTTGTATAATTTTGGTGTACAAGTTGAGTTTAATAACATTTATTAACAAAATTCTATATTTATTTCAATTTTCTGCCATTCAGGCTGTATTTAATAATGGCATTTTAAAGTGAATTGTTTAATTTTTCACTCAAGGATTCACTTTAACCAACTGCATAATTTTTATAGTAGTTTAAAATGCTTGTAGTTGGTGGTAAGAATGTTAAATTGTTTTCTAATATTTAATTCAGTTTTGTTGTTATTTTGAGCCAGGCGATGAATGTCGTGTGTCTGACACAGGTATATGTTCTATGTTTTTATGGAGAGAGATGTTTATTCTGAAAGTTACAAGCTTGATTTTGTATTGTCATGAAAGTTAGAAACTGTTTTGCAGGTAAAATACAAAACTGATTTAGTGATGTTTCTTCCAACCGTAGAAAGTGCCATTATATATACAATTTCTTTTCTCTTTAAATAAAGTTATCTTTCTTGTGTGTCTGGGCCTATTCTGAAGAGCTGCAGTGCTGTTATTTCATTTTTTTACGTGGACACTCACAGTATTATTACGTATTAGGAGGACTATTCATTTCATAGAAATCTTTGTATGAAGTGACATGTCCAGTTTTGTAGTCATGGAACATCTGAATAATACAAATAAGAGTAAGAGTAATAACATTAATTTTAACAACTTATTAAAGTAACATTGCAAGTGAAATGTTCTGCATGGCATTTGATATAACTGCTGACAGTAAAATGATTACATTAAATAAGATATAGAAACTCAGTGACTGGTATATCTTTGTATAGTATTGTATATGTACAGAGTAAAGGTAAAAGAACTTGAGGTCCAGAACAGTCCTTTGTAGGAGGGTTGAAGCAACAAAAATATGCAATATTACATTACATAATAATGTTGAAGAGGATGTGTCATGTATGGAGGTCTTGAGGTAACTTCATATTACACGGAGAGAGTAATTTAGTTTTGTGCATCGTAATGAACTAAATCATACTAAGTTTGTAAGGAACGAACAAAATATGGAATTCCTCCAAGACCTCTCATTTATCTGTGCAAACATGAAGTAAAATGGTGCAGAGAAATGATAAATCAACCAGTTAATTGTAAATGGAAAAATAATTACTTGTTCTATTTTGTGCAGTAAACAGACACCACAAAGTATAAATGGTGTATTTCCTTTCTTTAATACCATATTTCATTCATTAATTGTTAATTGTTTTTTGCCTTGCTTTCCTCAGTTGTTTCTTTTCTAAATCCTTATTCAGACAAACTGGATGGAAGATGAGTCTTGGTAAGTGTGACCGCATGCCAAGCCAGAAAGATATCTTGATTTGAACTCTCAACATTTTGAAGACACATGACTTCATGCTGCTACATACCAGATGGCAGCTGTCTCTGAATCACTACTGAATTGGTAAACTGATCTTGACACTCTTAAAAGATTCATAATGATGAAATGAATTATATTTTCTAAAGGAAGTTGAAATGGTGACCTTGTGGATTTGATCATTGTCGTATTTTCATTCAACTGTGGAAACATTAAACTGAAAATTATTTGGAATTTAGAAAGCAAGTAGTTACAACAAAGGACAGCTAATACCCAACAATATTGACTAAAAATGTAAAATGTCTTTCAAATCTTGATAATGGCTTCCGTGTTGTGAAACTAGCAATATTATCTATTTTTACATTGAGTGCATCAGTGTGACAGCAGCAGCATACATGGTTAAGTCCTTGATTATATTTTCTTTTGCGATGATGTACTTTGTTTCACCCGATGGCGTGAATGTCGAAAGTCCTGGTGTCTATAGGTATGTCGCTTTTACACTTTCCAACATTGTTAAATTTCATACCGTTTCAACGGTAACCCCCTTGGACTCTGTTATCCATGAATCGTATCGCAAGCAGCGTTGTCATTTTAACGTTCACAGTAACGTCTATCCCACTAGGTTGTGGTATGTAGTCATATATATATATATATATTTATAGCAGTTCAAGACTTTTAAACTTTCGTAGCCTTAGATGATTCTGTCTAGACTGGACCTCCGTGATCTATTTGTTTGTGAGTAGGGTCTCAGCTGTTGCTTTGAGACTTTTGCTTAACAGACTTGTGAGAATTTCGAAAGGATAACGTTCTAGAGCTGTTCCTCGATATGTTTTAGTATCGTTCGTGTGTCTCTTTCCGTACTGCAAAGATTTTTATGGTGGAATTTCTCCACTTTTGAGGTCCATATGTTTATTACACAAATTTGCCCGTGTGGTTCGAAGCTGCCTCCTATTTTGTGACTTAAATAAGGATTTCATGTAGTAAGTAAACTATTACTTCAGTCATGTCGACGTCTAATCTAATGATTAAAATTGGTAACAGATACGTCGAAGTCGACAAACTTCCAACTTCGGCCGCTATGTGACGCGTGAAGTGTAGTGAGATCAGCTGTTTATCTCTTGACTGATAAGTGCAAGCGAAAATTGAATGATTAATCGCGTACAAAGATGCTTCAGTTATCAAATTACTGTTTGTAATGTGTAGGAGTTGCGATTTTGAAGAATGAAGTCTGAGAATGTGGTTCAAATAAGGTATTGCTGCATTTCTTATAGGGATGTAATTTTGGTTTCTCATCAGACAGAAGCTGAAAATTATACCCCAATGGTCCATTCAATATTGCGGACCTTAGATATCAGAGAAGACAGAAAGTTAGCAAGCCCAGTTGACAGGTAAGTTCGAGTTTGAACAAAAGTTTCAGTTTCCATGTAAATATTTCAGGTTATATTTTACTACAAATTTTACTGTGATTCCAGATTTCAGGTTCATGTTTTAATTGAAAGTGGCATAGCATACACGTGCGTGACTCATTTAACCAACAAACATTATCTTCAATTCTCATTCCTGGAAACAATGAAGGAGAAGTTTCTTGAGGTTCCTAGTTTACATATCAGGGCAGTTACTGCAAGTGAAAATGAATTTGAGAGAGACTTTTGCCCTGTCATTGCTTCAGTAGTGGTAAGTAGACCTTCAAACACTGTTTCAGTTCATCTTTATTTACTGCCATTAGTGACAGGCCAGATAGCTTTTGTTGAATGGTGTTGCAGTGATATACAACAGAATTGTACATAGGCTTACACCTATTTTATATGAAATGATAACTGTTTAATAATTGTAATTTTTTAATCAGACAACAACTTATAACAAATGAAGTTTTTCACAAACTCGTATTACAAGTAAATAACATGTTGTTCACTTGTTTGTTGTCCAAGGGAAGCAAAGAATTAATCATGACACCAGCAGGTGATGTTGGTAGAGTGTTCTGTCATCTGTGTAACTTTTATACAAACACTGTCCCTTCCATTTGAGTCCACTAATTATTTTACGCTGATGAACGAAAGAGATTCTGTAATAAACAAAATTCTTTTGTATCTGTTTGCTTTTGAGGTTATGTATTGTCAGTTGTTTTATGTTTGTTTGCATCACTGTGGGTAAAATGTTACCACTGACACAAAAATAAGATAACATTCTGACATTTGCATCTTTGTGACTAAAGACTTAAAATTGATGACTTATTTCAGGAGAGGGAGGGTTATGGGTCGGAGCCCAACTACAATCAATAGTAATAAGAATTCTGCTTGAATGGGAAGCTTTACATGAAATGTCATTGGATGTCACAAAATATTTGTTGGCATTCATGATAGTATTTTGTTTAGGTCAGATCCTAGCCTGTACTTGGGTGTTTACATGTGTTTCCTCAGTGCTTCTAGTCTGTTGCTGGTGTATCCCTTGAAACGGTTTTTTTTTCATGTTATTCCAACTTGTCATTTATATTCATAATGTCATGTCTCAGACAACATTATGTAGGCTGTGAATTTGACACTTTGATGCAAAGGACGGCAGTAATGACAGTCTTAAAGAATTGTTTGTATTCACTGTCAACTTGTATCAAGTGCAAAACATGTGGAGCATTATATCCACATGCCTGATATGTTTTGGAACGGTATTTAAGTACTTAGGCGATTAATTCATCAATGAAGATGTTTCAGAACTGTTAAATAAACCAAATCCATTAAATGATAATACATGATTCAGTGTTTCTGCAACATCTAACACCGAGAGCCATTCTGTATCTTATTCTGTGCATTCTTTGTTACACCCGTATTATTTTTCTTTGCGTAGTATGACTACAACATCGGACGAGGTGACAACGTGTCTCGGCTTCATGCCCAAGTGGAGGATGTGAAACAGATTATGTTAGAAAATGTAGAGAAGGTGATTGAGCGTGGTGATAGATTAGATGACTTGCTGTCAAAAACAGAAGATCTGGAATCACATGTAAGCATAATTTCAGGAAACATCAGGATTATTTAAACACGTTAAAATATTTTATTTTGAAATTAGGTCATAATTTCACAAGTTATAAAGTTGATTCCTATATGGATCATTAATTTTGTTAACTCATTCCCTTACTCCCTTTAAAACTGTATACGTACAGTCCGTGCAACAAAAATTAAGTGCTTGAAATTTCCTTTACTCTCAAACCAGGAGCGACGTATGCATAATTGCGGTCATTGGTAATCTCCTTGTACTTGTCTGTAGGTGAATTTTTTCTGCCGTCCATTAATTACAGTTTTCTCACGCCAGACGCACATTAAGCGAAGACAGCAACAACAGTGCGTGCGCCTAATTTGAATAAAGTAATGAATTACTGTCAGTGACATTTCTGAGGCATAGGACTAAGTCCCATGGCAAGACTGTTGGAGACTTGTGTTGATATGAAAGTTCAGGGCCTCATGTCTGCATTTGTTGTATTCGTACGAACACTGATTTAAACTCTGCAGATGTCTCTTGTTGCATATGACGTGTTATTTAAGATGGACAGCCGTACGGATTCGCATGTTATTCCAACTTGTCATTTATATTCATAATGTCATGTCTCAGACAACATTATGTAGGCTGTGAATTTGACACTTTGATGCAAAGGACGGCAGTAATGACAGTCTTAAAGAATTGTTTGTATTCACTGTCAACTTGTATCAAGTGCAAAACATGTGGAGCATTATATCCACATGCCTGATATGTTTTGGAACGGTATTTAAGTACTTAGGCGATTAATTCATCAATGAAGATGTTTCAGAACTGTTAAATAAACCAAATCCATTAAATGATAATACATGATTCAGTGTTTCTGCAACATCTAACACCGAGAGCCATTCTGTATCTTATTCTGTGCATTCTTTGTTACACCCGTATTATTTTTCTTTGCGTAGTATGACTACAACATCGGACGAGGTGACAACGTGTCTCGGCTTCATGCCCAAGTGGAGGATGTGAAACAGATTATGTTAGAAAATGTAGAGAAGGTGATTGAGCGTGGTGATAGATTAGATGACTTGCTGTCAAAAACAGAAGATCTGGAATCACATGTAAGCATAATTTCAGGAAACATCAGGATTATTTAAACACGTTAAAATATTTTATTTTGAAATTAGGTCATAATTTCACAAGTTATAAAGTTGATTCCTATATGGATCATTAATTTTGTTAACTCATTCCCTTACTCCCTTTAAAACTGTATACGTACAGTCCGTGCAACAAAAATTAAGTGCTTGAAATTTCCTTTACTCTCAAACCAGGAGCGACGTATGCATAATTGCGGTCATTGGTAATCTCCTTGTACTTGTCTGTAGGTGAATTTTTTCTGCCGTCCATTAATTACAGTTTTCTCACGCCAGACGCACATTAAGCGAAGACAGCAACAACAGTGCGTGCGCCTAATTTGAATAAAGTAATGAATTACTGTCAGTGACATTTCTGAGGCATAGGACTAAGTCCCATGGCAAGACTGTTGGAGACTTGTGTTGATATGAAAGTTCAGGGCCTCATGTCTGCATTTGTTGTATTCGTACGAACACTGATTTAAACTCTGCAGATGTCTCTTGTTGCATATGACGTGTTATTTAAGATGGACAGCCGTACGGTTGATTTATGTGACAGATACTTTGATGGTCACCAAGAATTCTCCTGTTTGTCTACATTTGAAAGTGTAGCAGCTCCAGTTTTTCAGGATGGCAGTCCTATGACTTCCTGGTCAAAATTTTTGGTTTTGACACTCCATTGTTTCTTTTTAATACAGAAAGTTATTTTCACTGATAGTTTATTGTAAGGGCATTGACGTCAGCTGTAGTTCATTTGGGATGTTTCCCTACTTTGTGGGTGGCTGGAGTTCAATTCCCAGTGTGGTGATTTCTTTATGAGTAACTGACAGCTACGGGCCAATATTTGTGGAACTTGATATGATCAATGTGCCATTGGAACTTTTGAACTCCTTGTGAGATTTTTGGTTCTCATGGCAGTGAGGGTGAATGTGTTGTTGTTCTGGGTTTTGTTGACCAAGTAGATACTAACTTTTCAGAGGAACGTATTGTCACCATCTTCAGGGTGAAAGCAAACTCTTTGTCCTTAAGAGTACATATCAACATGCCAGCTGTATGAGCTCGTGGGACAGAAACAGCATTTTGGGTGGCAATAGGCATTTGAAAATAAGCGTCTTTTATTGGGTTAACTTATCATGAAAATAAATCATTGTGCTAAGTTTTATTGACAAGACATTAAATGATAAATAATTGTGACTGAACATGACAAACATATACAGGCCTGTCCAACCTGTAGCTCGCAGGCAACGTGTTGCCTGCGGAGACATTTGAAATAAGGAAACGTCTTTTAACCCTATCCCTGGCAATGGGGCGATAGAACGCTGAATCAATTCCACCTGTTTCCTGGCAGACTGTGAAAGAAACGTTTTCACCAATTCCATATTCCCAAGTGACCCTATAATAAATCTTTATTGTTAGCATTTGTTCTTTGCTGGGATTAAAATGTCGACGATTGCCGACGGGCGTGTTTTCTTGTTAACAACTTACAGATGTGCGGGCACCAGCAACAGTTTCTCTCTGATATTTTCATAAGTTAAAATCGATACATTAATATTTTCATGTACTGTTTCTTTTTACAGGGTAGTATTTTTCGTCAAGGAGCCCATGATGTTAGAGTAAAAATGAGGTGCAAGAACCTTAAGATGTGGTTTGTGATTGGTGGATTGCTGACAGTGGTGCTTACCTTTGCTATTTTACTGGCTTGTGGTGTGATACACTTATGAGTTTTCAGTATCTGCCGTGTGTAAGTAATGTTTGAGTCATAATTCTTGCTGAATTAATCTTGGTGTGCATTTTCCATTTAGGAGTGAAGTGAAAAGGGATATGATCTTCTCCATGCAAATAATGGAGGCTAGAGGGCTGAGGACTTCATAACTATTATTGTTGAAAAATGTTTTACAGTTTTATTCATTTAATTAATGTAGCCAGATTTTTAAAATAAGAGTACAGGCAACTCTTGGTTTACAAACGAGTTCCATTCCAAGACGTTGTTTGTTATACGTTTTTGTTCGTTATGTGTATCTTGCAATCCTGAGATTTTATGATACGTATCGTATACGGTAGCAGCCATTTTAAAGCATTAAAACCATGTACTAAACATCGAATGGTCTATACAATACGTTTTAGTTTTATTAACCAAGAACAGTTCAGTATAATTATCATATAATAATTTTCTGATAATTATTGTAATAAATACATTTTTAAAAGTTTATTAATTTAAATCTTACAATTATGTTCATTATACGTTTGGCATTTCGTTTTATAAGGAACTATATCTATTGGCGACTTTATGAAATTTGAATTATAGCGAATGTTCGTAAACCGAGAGTTGCCTGCGTATTATAAATCGTATTGTATAACAATTTTGTTGTAATTCTCTGCATATAAATTTAATTTCCCAACCAGAGTTCAATTTACTTTAGACATTGTCACAATAAGAAACCTACCAAATTAAATTTATGTGTGCATCACGTGTTCCAGTACTTTCACCGTTTACTACATGTAATACATTAATTGCAGTTAATTATTAATGAATCAATATTTTGTGTTTTGGTTTTTACGCTTTTTGGACATTTTCCTACATTTCTTGATTTCTTGTAAATTTTGAAAAATTAGAAAATTTGTTCAAAATTCTTCCCATACTATCCCTGCCAGAACCAGTCTGTGCATGACACAGTGCCGCTCACTTTCTCTGCCGGACTCGGTCTCTATACGATCCGTTCTCTGTATCACCTGATATCTTCCAGGCCGTCTGTGCAAAGACCTGGTTCGAGGGAGACCGAATCAAGCAGAGACTTTGTTAAACAGAGCAGAGAACAGAGACCTGGTGAATGAAAGACCATGTAAAGCAGATACCGGTTGAGGCACAGACCGAGTCCGGGTAAGACTAAGTGAAGTAGACAGTTGCTGAGTCGGGGTCCAGCAGAGTCCAGTTCTGATAGGAATGGGTTACGACAGTATTTTAAATCTTTCAAAATTTTCTAAAAATCATGTAGACGCCCTAAGTCGACACATC